GGTGGTAGAGGGCGCGGTAGGGCCGCGGCTATATGGAGGGCGGGAAGGGGATGTAGTAGTGGGGCGCGGAAGGGCCGTGCGTGGGATGGCCCGGGATTGAGTGAAAGATCGCCTCGAGGGGGCGGCGGGGGTGATGAGTCAGGCGGGAAAGAGCCGCGGCGGGCTAGGCGTTAGCGCCGAGGGTTCGCGCCGCGCGGCGCTGCCTCAGGCTCGGCGGCTGGCGCTTCCGTTGTTTGAGCGCGCGGAGTCCTCCCACAGAGTGAGAGTGGGCGGCTGGGACCGGGGGACTCTGTCTATGCCTCCACTGGGCAGCGAGAGGGGCGTAATCTAGATTCATGGATCAGAACGTCTATCTATGGGCAGGCGCTGCTATTTACTCCCCTCCTCCACCGCCAGACTGCGCCGGCGGTCAGCTGCTGGGAACCCACGCCTCAGAACCTCGATGCCGCGCGACGTGCGATTTGTCGCGCGACGCCCTTGTGGGCCGTCGGGCCCATCTGTCGCTTAGCTCGGCTGCTGGCTGTCGTTAAACATGTAGAGAGCGACGAAGTGAAGGAGATTCAACAACATAAAGCGATCAAATGAAAAGTGGATGAAGTTAGATATTTGGATAGATATATGTCAATGCAGTAATAAGATGTGTGTGCTATGTAATGCTCGTTTTGATAACATTTCCTAGCATCAGCCTTTTTTGTGCCTAATGTGATTGATGGTGTTACTTACTCTCGCCACCTTCTACTCATCCCCATCCTTTTACCTACCCCCATACGCCTCCTCTCGGTCAGCTCTCTACACCCCCCTCGCTGCTGCTCCCAATCCCTAAGAGAACACGCCTGCCCCGCCTAGACGCCCTTCGACGGCTTGCCGCCTATCGCCTCGAAGGTCGCGCCCTTTCTTCGGATCAAATTCCTCCCTTTATTTACTCGCCTCGTTGAGCCTGACCACTGAGATCGCCTCGTGCTGACCCCTCTTTGCCTTGATGGCCACACGTGAGGGGGTAGGAGGGAGGGGGGAGGAGAAGAGGGGAAGTCAAAGGTCGCCGGGGCAGGAGTGTGGCAGATGCGGTGCGCCGGGCATCGTCAACGGCGCTCTTGTCTGGGAGTTTTGTTTGTACGGGATGGTTTGCTTTCAAAGTCGCTGTTGTAGCCAACAAATTAACCTTAGTTTTCGGTGTTCCTTTTCTTATTGTGGCTGTATTTCATTTCCTATTTATGAGTGTGTGTGTGTGTGTGTGAGGAAGGGAGGGAGAATGGATGAGTAGGAGAGACAAAGAGAGTGTCGCACCTTTAAGCATTTTCTATAAATCACAAGTCAAATAAATAAGTGCTTCCATACACACACATTCATATACACCTTACATAAAAAACCCTTTTCAACCTAAACATATTTTCTTCCAAGACCCAGCCTGTCCTCAGACCCAGAGCTCATTCACCAAGCCCGACTGCACAAAAATCATTTAACACCGATTTGGGCCGATTTGCACTAGACCTTCCAGCGATTAACATGTAAATTTCCTACTGAAACCGTAGGAAATCGGGCCGGTTGCTATCCTTCTCCCGACGCCAGCGACCTCTTGGCCTCACGTTACCCTGCGCCAGATTGGGGATTGAATTCTATGAGGATTACTCTGTGTAAGATTGTTCCTGGGTTCTAAATGTTATTTTCTATTTAACTATGGTGTAACTCTAAAGACAGCAATCATTACTAATTAATAATTAATTAATTAATAATTAATACTGGATAACATTCTACGAAATTCTCAACGTTTCTGGCAGTTTTAGCAAGTTCACTTTCAGCAAGTTAGAACGGAAAACCATTAATAATGGTAATGGATAATTACAAATATCTCACTTTGCCTTACGTAAGCAAAGTCTGAAATGAAAAATGTTTTCACTTCCTTTAGACTCATACAGTTTGGAAAAGCACTTTTTGGCTCAGGAACAGAAAATGAATCATATCATGTTATAGGATATTTTCGTTTGTTTTTTAATTAATTCATAAAAAATATAGAATTATTAACGCTATTGATATCATTATTGTGATTATCAATATCAGTATTATAATTGTTATTGTCATTATTGCTATCAATATCATTATCATTGATAATATCATGTTTATCATAATTTATCTAAGCATATTATTACAGTTACTATCATCATTATCGTCATTTCAATATATTATATTTTATCTTATATACTAATATCTCTATATTCTTTTCCTTTTATCATTCCCGCTCTTTGTTATTTCCGGGTCACCACAATCGATCGTGTCATATCGCTGGACATGGACATCATTTTTTTTTTTTTTTTTTTTATCGTACTTACATTCTAATGCTTCCTTTTTCTTCTTCTTCTTTTCTTCTTCTTAAATCATTATACGACGATATTGCAGCATTTACTTACCCCCCTAGACCCAAAAATATTTAAATTTTATCTTATTAGCTAAAGCCTAAGAGAAGAGAAAAAGAAAGATTGGCGAATACAATACAAACGTCAAATTA